CGAGAGTCCCTCATGGTGAATGTCAAGCATGAGCATTATTACCATGAGAAAGCTCTGGCCATTGAGTATCCAGAACTATTTCAGTTATTTAATCAAGACGCACTCGAAGTCTATCGTCAGTTGCTATTGTCTGTAAGTGATTTCTTTCTGTAACTTAAGTCTCAAGCTAGTTATGTAGTGATAATTTTGATCAATCATTACATGTAATTATCCTCACTATATTCTTTTTCTGTGGTATTATATGCAGGATGTAGATGTATGAAATGAAAAAAGCTAGACGCTATGGCATTGGGTTCATTGACCCAAATACCATTAATCAGGACATATGGGAGATTAAGCATTGTAAAGATGCTGTAGAGGAAAGCATGCTAGAGTTCTTGAAGCGCCTCAATACCTTCGAAGATATACTACTTCCTTACAACTTCCCGTGAGTCACACTGTCTTGTACTACAAATTCTGTTTTTACTTACTAGCTAGCTAGATGTTAATAATTAAGTGTATACAGTTTACGGTAGTTGATTAATTTTATGCACATGCCCGCTTAATTAAGACATGCAAACGTGTGCGTATGCAGTTGGCACTGGGTCTTGATAGACATTAAAGTTGAGGAAGGAAAAGTTGAATTACTGGACTCACTAACTAAAGAAGATAAAGACTACACCATCGTGAAGGGGATAGTCAACAGGTAATTTCAATCATTATTAACTATTAGTTCCTGATATGAACTATTTAATAACCCCTTTATTAATTTTCTTTGCCGGCGGGCCGGCAGGGCATGGGCAAAGTTCATCGCGGTGACTCCAGGAGAATGGCCAAAAAAATTGTTTTGGCATCGACCCAAGGTAAGTAATTAAGTAGTACTAGCTAGCTACCATCTCTTTAATTCTTGTTTCAATATCATTAATTAATTATTATGCTTGATTAATCATTATCTGATTCAATTCCATCCTCGTAAAGGCCCTGAGGCAGGCGAAAGGGAATAATCTGTGTGCATACTACGTTTGCGAGAACATTCGCATGATGACGTGCAAAAGGAGCAGATCTGATAGACATGACTGGGTACGTTTTTGTCAGAACACTATTCACACCATTATCGATATCTAGTCACACAACTAACACACATGCATATTGATCTCCTTCTTAACAGTTCAGATCGGTGCGGGATAAGCTCCTACTATCGGACCGCATACAAGCACTTCAAGAGGAAATAGCCGGATTTTTGCTCGACCAGGTCATAGATCCGAAAGGAGAACACTATTATCTGCTACCGCCCTCATGAACCACTTGTCATCGTGCTCCGAAGGCACCAAGGCAACATGTAATAGAAATTGTATATCTATATACATGTGTATATGTGTGAATAGTTAATGGTGTTGGCTGTGAGACATTCGATTTTCAGTCTGAAGCAGTGCGTTCTGCTAATATTAGCAGAATAACTATTCTGCACACCACTTCGGCACTGCACGCTTAACAGAAGCGCACTGCATCATTTTGACGACGAGCACTGCAATAGAGACTAGTGAACTTCTCGTTGGAAAAAACTGCACGCGTTATTTTTCGGTACTGTTTTCGCTCTAAGTTTTTAACCGTTTATCGAAATGAGGCGTGTAATATACCGTTCAAAAGCTATGGATTAGGCGCAACTTCGACATGTTGAACACTTTTCGAGATTCCACACGGTTTAAGAGCAGTTTTGAAAATAGTGCGGCGGATGACGAGTGGCAGCGAGCGTTTTTTCGCGTTTTTTTCTAAACCGCTTGTCGGAATGAAGAAAATGATACGCCGTTGGATAGATATTGTCGAGGCGCATCTTTTTCATATATAAATCTTTCTCTAATTCATTACGGTTTAAGAGCAGCTTCAAATTTACTAAATCGCGGAACTCTGTTTTTCAAATTTTTTAAAATTTTCGGCACTGTTTTTGCTCCAGTTTTCTAACCGTTTGTCGAAACGAGATGTATGATACGCCGTTGGAAAGCTACGGACAAGGCGCAACTTCCATATGTTGAAATGGTTTTGAGATTCCTTATGATTTTTAGTTAATTTTGAAAATCGTGCGGCGAACAACGAGTGGCAGCGGCCGTTTTTCGCGAAATTTTTGCAAACCGCTGGTCGGAATGATTCAAACGATACGACGTTGGAAATATATCGACGAGACGCAAATTTTCCATGTAGAACACACTCTCTAATTCCTTATGGTTTAAGAGCAGTTTCATTTTTACCGAAAAGCGGACACTCTGTTTTTCGCGACACCCAAATTGACGTGTGTTCTGCATCAGACAACAGAACGCACTGCTTCAGACTGAAAATCGCACTACATGGGAGAGTCAAGTAAACTTCATTATTTTTTTATCGGATGTAAATTTTTCTCAAACGAAGAGAGTGAAGTGGGCTTCACATCGGGCGTAAGTGAACCACAAAAGTATGAAGAAGTGAACATCATTACTTTTTTGTCGTTTCGGTAGAAAAAAATTCTTGCACTAACATGATGAGCAACATCAGACGGTCGATCGCACTGCTTTGGTTGGAAAACCACACTGCATCAAATGGCCAAGTGAACCGCATTACTTGCTGGAGTTATTATTTTTCTTTTTGTTCCATCATGTGTTCTGCACTGCAAGGGTGAGAGTAGTTATCTGTATACGTTCCTCAGGGGTGACACGTTCTGCACTGCATGAACAAGACTAGTGCACTACAGGGGTGGCACATGTGCACTGCACGAAACAACGCAAATATGCTTGACAAATTCTCCTAGCGGGAACGAACTTCTGATAGACACACACGGGATCACCAGCGAACTGCACACGAGATACAAACGAGCAGTGGATTATACAGTGACACAACGAACACATTCGAAAGTATAAACAACACTGATTGCAAACAAAACAAAATTTAAAACACAAAAAACTATGTGAGAGGTGGCCGGCAGTGAACTGCATGCCTCCAGCCTGTGCACCGCACGCCTTCACACATATACGGTATACTACAGCGACACTTTGACAGCATCGCGACTGAATGGCCACGCCTGCCGAACCGCATTGCGTGCCCGGTGCACTGCAAGTCCAGGATGCCTACACTGCAAGCGGTGGAGGGCATCTCGTCTGTAGGACATGGTCGATCTCACCACGAACTGCACTAGTTTCCATCCAACAATTTTTTTGTCCCTAAACTTTTGCACAACAGCCCTGAAATTGAATTGAAACTGAACTGAAATCCACTTCGACTAAATGAATGAAACTAAAAAAATGCAAAGAACAAACCGGCGGATGAACTCCATGTCCATGGCCGCCGAATCACAGTGGACACACAAGAGAACCGCATAATCATCGGCCGTGAACCATTTTCAGAGCACAAACATATTAATTTTGCAACAAAAATTAACAAAAATCTCCTTGCTGGAGCCTGTGCTCGGGTTAACCACATGAAGAGGAGCAGCAAACTGCACTTGGCGCTCCACCAAGCTGCACATAGAAAAAAGGCAATTGGTTCAGCAGGATGTGGCCCTTCGGCGGGGTGATGAAACCACCGACGTGAGATGCGCTGCCGATAATGGGGTTAGGAGAAGTGTTGGGATGGATTCCATGAACTGGCAGAAGGAGGAGCGCCTGGGGAGGCCCCCGTGCCGCTCGTAGCAAAGCCCGGCAAGGACCTAGCAGCAGGCGCCCTCCCAGCGACACCCATCGGTCAGCAACCATCTGCTGCAACCCGCTGCGTGCCGGCAGACTGCACCGACGACCGATACGCCCTGTATTGGGAAGCAATGTGCACTGCATCAGCGGAGAACAACATGAGAGTGGAGCAGAGGTGATGTACGCAGTGCCGAACTTCACGCACGCACATCGTGTGGTGTGGATCCCCTCCTCTGCTCACCGTTGTGGTGAGACTGATCCCGACGGTGTGCTTGTCGGATGCAGATGCGCCATAGGGGGCGAGGGGGAGCAGGGCTCGATGCCGCAGGCGCCCGGGTAGCGAGATCCATGGAGGGGACGAGATCCTGGTTGTCGTTCGCGGTCGTGGCCGCCGGATCCGGCACTGACGGCCGCGCGGAGAGGCGCATGGCGGCGCCAGGGTAGCTGTTGGACGCGGGAGGGGGTGCTGGAGCTAGGGGAAGGAGGTGGGCTAGGATGGTGCGGTGCGGGGACCGGAGGGGGCCGGGGCGGGTACTGGGTTGCCAGGGCCCTGCCGTCGGGGAGGAGCAGGGGATGGGCGGCGAGGATGGGCCCCGATCAGCGGCGCGACCAGATCCAGGGAAGGTGTTGGTCCGGCGGCGCAGGGGGAAGGTGGTCCGGCGGCGCAGGGCGGGAGGTGGTCCGGCGACGCGAGGGTTGGAGGTGGTGCGGCGGTAGGGGCGGGAGGTGGTGTGGCGGCGGGAGGAAGGTTGCACGGGCTGCGGAGGGGAGGTGGAGGTTGGGGATGGAACGTGAGAGAGAGGTGGGGGTTGACCAGGGAAGAAGGTGGATTAAGTGGGGGAGGTTGCTCGGTTTGTTTTGCGAGAGGAGTTCAGTTCGTGGGTTTTTGAAGTGCTAAACTGTTAGCAGAATA